AAGGCCAAAAAAAAAGTTAGAAACTTGGAACACAAAGTTTCTACAGTGTTGATAGTCCCATAATTGAACAATAATTAATAATCAAGTAGGTGATTATCTTGAAATCATATGTCTGCAAAATTATTGCCATACATCTTAGAAAATTTGTAGGAAGTTTTGAATTTTATTTCCCTTTATAAGAATATTTACAAATAGGAATTCATGGATTTGGAATCCACTTATTTTATTAAAAGGTAAATTAATTTTGTCCCCCTACTCTCAGCATCTCAGCATCTCAGCATCAAGCTGCCACAGCTTTGAAGTGTCTGAGGGTCTGTGCTTTATCTTTATTTTGTGCATCCATTAGCAGCAAGTCATGTCCTAAGGTATCAGAAAAGCCTTAGAGAGACCTTTTTGGGGTCTGGGAACATTCAAAAGTTTTTCCATGCAAATTCATGGTAATCACTTCTTCACTTTATTTCAGCTTACAAAAGTTTTCACAGGAATACTCTACTTTTGGATAGTGGGGAAAACCTATATTAATTCTAAATACAATTTACAAATAAAAAGCAAGCTTCACTGGACACTTGTGTCAAGAAAAGACCAACCTATCCTGCTTGAAAATATAATATTAACTAGATGATTTAAAAAAACAACATTTGAAAGAAATAAAGACCAAAAAGTTATATACAGTTTTACTTAGAAGTATGACCCTTCATATACTGAGTTCAGTTTTGTAGCCATAATTGATGCTTAAGAGCTAAAATGACAATATGCTTTTGAAAAGATGTGTTGGCTAATCAATGACACCACTAGGACCTAAGGAATATTTACATCCAAATCGTAAAAAGTTAATTCAATACCAAAAGGATGTTTTTAAACAAGAGTATTGAATTAAAAAGCCACCAGAAACAAATGTGCTTTGTGGTCTTCTTATAATACAATAATGTGAGTTGCTATCCCTCAGCAAATATTTTTTGCAAAATATTTCTACTTGATATCCTAATATTCTGAAGGTACCTCTGCATCAGAGACTGTTACAAACATTAAAAATTATTTTAATAAACATGATCAGAATACATGATCATGAAATATAAATTTCAGCTACTATACAAACTTATTTTGTTTTTCCAGGATAAGAAACAGTTTCAACATTTCAAAGATATGAATTAGGGATTACATTTGACCACGAGTAGCAAACCAAAACAAAGCAAATGAATGTAACTTCTATAAGATAGCAGTTATTTTCTCATATTATTCAAGTCTGGGGGATTCAGGTTGTGTAGACAGTGATCCTTTGCATCAAACATACATTTTTTGAAATATTAATGAGATATTGCATCAAAAATGTTTAATTGGGAATGTTGAAAGAATCTCATCAGACAAAATAACTCAACTGCCATTTTCCAGTGACACCAAAACTCAATGTTATGTAGAATTCACTATAAATTAAATAAAGCTGGTAATACAATTTTCATTGCCATTAGACAGATATATAAATACTGCTAAAAATGGTAATTCCTTTAATATATGTGCAATTTGAACATGATGGTGATGTAAAGAAAGAATTTGTTTACTAAGTTTCATTTTTA